ATATAATAATAATAATATATAAATATATTCAATCGTAACATATATTTAATATTAATATTAATATTAATATTATTGTTACTACTACTAATAATAATAATAATACTACTACATTTATTTTGTATATGTATTTTCACATATATGACAACAGGACACTTTAATACCTGCAACGAACACCGTAAAACCCAATAAGTTAGCTCAACTCTATTTAAGTTTATTGATTATGTTTGATTTGAGTGCAGTAAATCATGTATTTGTTTAGTTAATTGTACTAATACCATTCAGTAACTAAACACTAGTAAGTATATTATACTCTAGCATTTTTCTAAACTTATTTAAAATGTGTGAATAGAATTTATCTGAATAAAGTAATTTAAATGCATCTTTAGTTTTCCTTATACAAATTTTACCACTTAAGTTTTCCACTAAAGTAAATTATTACATTACCATTCAAAACAGCTGATGTATGAAATAAGCAATTTACAATTAATGAATTATCAAAGTGGTAGCGAATTAATTTTCTGTAGATCCTCTAATTGTTACTGCTCTAATTAAGTTGTTAGCAATAGCCTCCTTGGTTTCTATGTGACTAACATCAAATCTTTGGACATCATTAAAAATTGATGCGTACTTGGGCATATGATAATTTATAAACTTTATAAAAAATGGTTTGGAGGATTGAGTTATGTTCACTTTTATTAATATATGCTATTATGCGTTTTTTACAGTGAAACACATTAAAATACAAATTGTCTTAAATCAATTCTTGCTAACAAAGCCACCAAAATTCTGCACCAAATTAAATCATAACCTTTGTTTATGTTATAAAAAAAATCCTTTTACTGATGACAATATGTCTGTGTACATTTTAGTTAAATCTATCTTTCAATGCATCTTAAAAGTCCAGTGTGTAACATTTAGGAGGACTTAGGAGGTAATATTCATAGGTTGTCATGGTTTAGGGTTTAGTTTTGTTATTTCCTGTTTTATTTTGTAATACTCCTTCCTCATGTGTGTTGATTAACTTAACTTCCTGTCGTTGTTTGTTTTAACCTCCAGTTTTGATTGCCTGCCCTGTCCTCATTAGTTTCACCTGTGCTTAGTTGTCAGTTCATCCTGGTTGCTGATTGCTTTTGCTTTGTCTGGAACTGTATCGGTTTACCTGCCTGCTGCATCAGTCTTCCTGCTACTGTCTTGCATTTGGGTCCAATCCGGTGTTTCCTGAGCCTTGACATAGGTATGTTTTCATTAGTGTGAAAATAAGAATTGTTGTGCTTTTGTTACCATTGAGGACCGCCTTCCTTAGAGGCCGCCATGTTTCTACAGTAGCCCAGAACTGACAAGCCAAACACTGGCTCTAGATGGGGCCTTTTGCGAGTTTTGCCGCCACTGTAGTTTCTCCTACACTCTCGGAAGAAGAGGGTGAAATGAGGGAGTTGCAGTCTGCAATTACACCTCTAGATGCCACTAAATCCTACACACTGGGCCTTCCAGAGATTCCAGTTCCATCCAGACCATTTTATCTTATGATGAGTGTAGCTATTAGAGTAAAAATAATAAACTTAAAGTTAAATTTAACCTGTAAGATGGCCTTGGGGCAAACATTTGCTGTTGGGCCACTTCTGACACCTGACTTCCTACCTTCTGTGTATTAAAACAATCTGTTCAACGTTTCCTTCGTAAGAGGAAGTGATTCTATGATTTAGTGGTGCAAATTCCCATAAGAAATGACTGATGCACAGTGACTTTTGACTCCCTGTGGATCTGGGGCTGTGGGGCAGGTGCCCAGTTTGCCTGTTGGGAAAGCCAACCTGCCTGAATATAGAATTGTGTTTTGTCTTTTTATTTAAAAAGTCAATATTTAGGAGATACAAGGTTTGTATATGTAATTTCCTTGATGAATAATGGTTGAAGAAGGGGGGCAAAACCTCACCAATAATTTATTGTAGTTGCCAGGTAGGTAACAGTTTAGTCTTATACTGCAGTCATAGAATTTCTCTTTAAATGTTGCTTTCACATTAGAACTCCTGCAAGTGAAATACAGTACTCCTGTGGACAGGAAGGGGTTGCCTTTGGCTGTAAACATTTGGTTTCTGAAAAGGAATTCATATTTTCAAAAGGGATCATTCATGTTACACAAAGACCATTTGCTCCAGGAAGCTCATTTGACTTAGACACATAATTTGTGCATCGCCAGTTGCTGTCTGGTTGTGCTCCATGTTTTCAGCACTTTAATCAGTCTGACAAGAAAATATTTTCTGACCCTTACGGTCACACCCTGACACTGCCACACTCCCCATACAGATCACAAACTGTGTGATGTTTCACAAGGCAAAAACACCCATTAGTCCAAGTCTTGAATTTTCAAGGAGTTTGTTGAAAACCCCCTAAAAACCTAATAAAATTAGAATTTTATAGAAGACCAAATTGACCTGACTGTCGGCGGCTAATAATTGTTTTATCATAAACTGGGGTTATGCAGGCTGACCCCTGTGTTCAACAGTGAGCAGAAACACAATTGAAGCCAGGCGGCTACCAGATAGCAATCATAAGATTAGTGTGTGTGGCCTCAGGCTACGTGAGTTTAAGATCTTTTCTAAAAAGATTGTCAAAGAATAGATCCCTTTGTTCTTGAATCAACACACTGTGTACACCCATTCTATTAGCAGAACATGCATGTTCAAACTGTATTTAAACAAGCTCAGTAGATCAAAGTGCTCTAGATGGACCCCAAGAAAATAAGAAATAATTAAAAAAATCTATATATTTTTTACATTTTCAACAGACCACAGAACTGGTCCAGTGCTGGATTTTCTCTCCCAAGCCAACAGGGACAGAGCTTCAGGGGTCAACCAGGTCAGAGGGAGTCTCAGTGAAATTATCCATGTTGTGATGTTAACACCCTACTATTAGTTAGTTAGATGCTGGAATGATAATGGCTAAGAGAAAGAAAGGTACCCTCCCTTTCCTCCTCTTCCCCCTCATCCTCTGCCCTTCTGTCTTTACAGACTGCATTCCCTTCCTAAGCCACTTGTGTTTTCCCTCTTTAGCCTTTCTCACAGATTTAGCTCTCAGATAGGCGGTTTGTCCAAAAAAGAGGAAAATGCTATTTAGCCAAAGCTTCAGATGTTACTGGAAGGTCAGCGGGAGCTGTGGGAAGATGATGTCTGTGGTCAGTGATAAACAAGTGAAGAACAATGGGCTACTGACAATTGGACATGATGAGGGGAAAACTTTTCAGGACAAACACTTCTCTTTTGTTGAAAATTTGCATATATATTAAAATAAAGTATATAGATATAATTACTGAGTAGTTTTGTATATGTACTATCAGAAGATGTCTTGTTACATTTGTGATGATGATGATGATTAAATAGTCGTGTCTTGTCCATGATTGGCCAAATGTTTAGTCTAGAAACAAGATTTAAGAGTCCACAGCAATGCTAGCGGCGCTGTGAGGCTGTACCAATGACACATAATATGGACAACGTGTCTCCTCTTCCTCCAACTGTACAAAAATGAAGCGAATCTTGTGCTGGTTACATCATTTGGAGCCAGCATCAGCACAGTAGTGATCCGGGTTGGCGCCACAGTATTGAGGGCCCACCCATACACCCCACCGACTCAGTCACAAGCAGGGTTCAACTGTCAATCATGACAAACCCACTTTTTTTATAGCATCAGAGGACCAATCAAAACCAGGAAAGATGAACACTTTAACATACATCAACATGATAAGAAAATGACAGAAACCATCTTTGGGTCAAATTTATTTAACATTTAAGTAGTTCTAAACACAAAGTACAGCTGTTGCTGATGGGGGGAAATTTAGAATTTTTGACCTGGTGATTGTGCTAATAGAAGAAGTAACCCCAGCTGGTCGTGGCAGATGGTCGCCCACCTAGAGCCGGGGTCTGTCCGAGGTTTCTGCCTCTTAAAAGGAAGTTTTTCCTTGCTGCTGTCGCCAAGTACTTGCT